AATCCGCCGTTTCGGCTACCACAATAGTGTAGTCCATCGCCCCCCTTTCCTGTAAAGTAGTCACTACCTGAGCCACAGAAGATGCTTTTTGACCAATAGCTACATAAAATGTGATTACAAGATTCCTCATCAGCTTTACACAAATAGCATTTGTTAACCATAATGTTACCCTTCCTCCTCGGCATGCCAATAGTCAAAATGCATTCTCTAGAGGTTTCCAAAGCAAAAAAAGCCATTCTAGGGGGAGCTTTGGACTTACATATCTGTTTAAAAGGTACGGCAGTAAACTCTCTTCCACCCCTATTGGAGTGCGTATATGTTGAACATACTGCCTTTGATTTTTGTTTTCCAAGGAAAAAATGGATTTAGCAGTACTTTCAGCATTTGGTTGATTGGAATTGGTTAAGCAAGGTTTTAGAATGTATATTTATTGTTGATTTTGAAGGTTCTGTCAGTCATGCAAATATAATAGACTTTTTGTTTGTTGATTTATGTCAAAAATTCATAACTTAATTAACTCTCTAGTTTAAATAGGAAGCAAAGAAAATTCTCTTGTTTATTTCTTTTATTAGTATTTCTCCAAAGAAATTCTTTTAAGATTATTGTATGGAGGAGTTTTTTTTATCTAAAAAGATTGTATTCAGGATTTTATTTAGATTGTGAAAACTTTCTTCATGACTTCTATATTATATTTTCTTAATGTTTTTCCTCTCTTCAACTCATGCTCCATAATCCTATATGTGGAAAATTTTCAGTTATTTCTTGAACAGCTGGATAGCGTTCTTCAAGGAAGCGGGACTTCAATAAAGTATTTTCACTTATCCCTTCTCCTGTTGTTTCTTTTTCAACTTTAAGTAGAATCATTGTAGTTAGTTATCTTTGACTTCTGTTCTGTTTGTCACTGTGTGCTTGCATTAAAATTAAGAGTTATCTATGTAATGCTACAAAATTGTTTCCTTTTGGGGCTTGGTCAATTAACAGTATTTCCTCCTTTGCCCCCTACTGCTGCTTCCTTTTGTCACAGTCATAATGAGCTTGTAACTAGAAGTAGAGATCAGTCTGTATCTGACTATGGTGAGTGATTTTGACATTCTACAGATATCACTGTGTTTTCATGCAGCTCTGTCTTGACAAATTTGGTTTCTTAGTTGTAATGTTTTTCAGATTTGTTACCTCTGGTGAAATACGAAAGCGCTCGGAGTTTTTTGAACCCTTTATATTAGGATTAACAAATGCAACAGTTGAGCAGGTTTGTTTGTGAATCCTCTTTGATTTAATCTATTTGTTGTTAGATTCTTATCCTGAGTAGAACTCATGTATTGGGAATTTTAATTATGTTCCAAAATTCAACCATAGTGGATGCCTCTGTGGAGCAGTATTTAACTGTCTTTTCAGAGAGTAGAGATGCTACTATAAATCTTCACTCTTTTCTCTCTTTGAAGAATTTCACTTCATTTTCATTATTAGCCTTGGTCTGAAGTTCTGTATTCTTAATTGTGTTTCTTATATTATTGGCACTCCCTTGATTGTATGAAATTCCCTTCATCTATGCCAATTGTTCTCAAGGAGGCTTGATTTTGAGTTCTACTATTACATAATTTTAAGAACTTAATTTTTAAATCGAGCAATCATTTCATATTTGAATTTTTTCTTGGATAGTTTTGCAAGTCATCGGTGGAACCAATGGGAGAAGAGAGTGATCATGTGCACATTACTGCCCTGTCAGATGCATTGGGAGTTCCTATCCGGGTTGTGTACCTTGACCGCAGTTCATGTGATACTGGTGGGGTCAGTGTAAATCATCATGATTTCCTTCCTGTCGCTGCAGACAATAATGCTAAAACTACCAGTCCTTTTATTACCCTGCTATATCGCCCGGGTCACTATGACATTCTGTACTCAAAGTGAGGCTTTCAACTGTAATGGTAAGGTTGCTTCATGCCCTTCATGAACTATTGTCCCAGCTTATAATTGTTCACTCAACAGTTTGCATTATGTCCAGGATAGAGCTTCATTCTTATGTCACAAGCATGTATAAAGGTCTTCATAGGGTCTTTGTGGTCATATGATTCTCCTGATATCCTTCACTTTTTAAAGGTGATGGCAACATCATCTACACTGATGTGATGATACTTCGTGATCTTTGTTGAGCTAGTGAAAAATATTTTCTCCATTAATAATTACATATGCCGATGGATGTTTGTTTCTTTAGCAATTAACTGTAATTTTCTTCCCAATGATTTTATTCGCTGAATTACGTCTGATCATGCCTGCAGGAATTGAGAATTTTCCTACTGGTAAATCCCTGTTGGCAGAAAGACTGATTTCTGAAGGAGAGAAGGCCTTAGCTTGTCGGTTGCACAGTAACATCTGGTTCTAAACTGATAAAAAAATGTTTCTGAACTGAATGAGAACACATACAAAGGCACCCAAGAACTTGGGGTTACAAGCCAATGCATGTGCATTTACATTGTGAAAGAAAGAAAAGCTGTTGATTTCACGATGCATGCTAGATTGCAACTTTGAATTTCTTGATGAGTTTTAAGTTTTGTAGGGAATTAACCTAGTTTTAAAGCAAATACCCCAACCCAAAAGAGGGTGAATATAACCTAGCCTAACCTGAAAGAGGATGAATACATACGAGTATGTGTACGCACGTGTCAAGTTATCATTTTAAGCAATCATTCTATTTTGATCGGATACCATATTAGGGTCTGCTGCCACTTCTCATCATCCTTGAAGTGTTAGGAGAGGAAAAAAATCTTTAAAACTATTAAAATTTTCTGGCCGACATCTGAATTTAGTCAATTCATATCATGCTGCTCTTGCTGATAGACTGTTCTTTGTCACATGACTTGTCAGATATCACTTGCTTTTCGGTTTGCATCATGGGGTGCTTCTGTTCTTTTTGACTATTAGTTTGGATCTTGGTTGCTCTGCAACTGGTTTTGACTGATTCTATTCTAATTCGTTTCTTATACACCAGTTATTTTATTAATGTATTCATAACTTACATGTTTGGTGCATTGTTGTAGCATACTCATGTCCTTTAATACAAGGATTTTAGGTTTTGGCTTGTTAATGAGGAATTATAAAAATATCTAATTTAAATTTGTTATAATGTAATTTAAAAAGAATGACCATTTTTCCATGTGAGTTTAATATTCAAGAAACTATCATTTTCCTGCCACATCTCCCCTCACCATTACGGAAGCCTCACTTTGAGTACAGAATGTCATAGCGAGCCGGACGATATAGCAGGGTAATAAAAGGACTGGTGCTTTTAGCATTATTGTCTGTAGCGATAGGAAGGAAATCATGATGATATACACTGACCCCACCAGTATCACATGAACTTGCGGTCAAGGTACACAACCCTGATAGGAACCCATTAAAGTCAACAAACCTTGTGAGGAAGTTGGGAATCACAGTTAAGAAAAACAGTTTTCACTTTCATTTGAAAAGTATAACACTAGATAGAAGTAAATCAAGTTGTAGGCTTCATATTAATTCCATATTCATAAGAATATCTCTTGGCCACGGGGAAAGTACTTTGTCAGTCTATAAGGTAAGGAGATATTGTTGAAGAACATCAATTTTGATATGTTTGACAAAACATACAATATTCGTGCTAAACAGAGTTTGTTGAGTATTCTTGAAATAAGCATAAAATCAAGAGATGATGATCTGAAGAAATCAAGAACACCAAGAAGAATCAAGATAAAGCTTGAAGAAGATTTAATAAATTTGTCAATAAATCTATTACTTCTATTGACATGGTAATTAAAAGAATCAAGAACTGTACTATTTGGATGACGTGTTAATTAAAAGATTTAATAAAGTTGTCAATAGAACTATTATTTTCTTATTGTTATTAATTGTTGTGTTTTATTTTTATTTGATATAAAAGCAATGAAATAAAGAATAAAAAGAAACCAAAAAGAAAAGAGAGAGAAATGAAGAAAGAAAGAAAAGACAAGGAGCCGGGCCAGCAGGAAAGCAGAAAAGGAGAAGCCTCGGCCCAATACCCCCAGTCCCCTACGCGACCCCAGCATCAGCCAAGCGCCAAAACGCCGTCGTTTCTGACAAAGATAAAAGTAAAAAGAGGAGGAGAGAAGACGTCGTTCTAGTATCATTAAAACCAGACGAGGAAGAAGCCACCCAGGATCTGACGCAATGGAGAAGATGAGGAATGAGATGCGTGCTCGGAAAAGAAAGACGAAGAAGAAACGCACACGAAATCGGGTTTGTGAAGAAGATAAGAAGAGATACACTTGAAGCCGGGTTCGTGAAGAAGAAAGAGATAAAGAAGAAGAAGAAGAAGAAGAAGAGTGCGCGGGCTTAGTGGGTCGTCATTTCCGGAAGAAGAAGCTCGATCCGATTAGCTAAAGGCGAGGCCCGAGAGACTGAAAGAGGGAGGAGGAGGAGAGAGTTCGCAAGCGGAGGCCGAAAGAAGAACTATAGAGTGAGCGATTTGTTAGAAAACATTTGTCAAGGTTTAGTTTTGCTCTGTGCACGAATTTAAAAATAAATGTAGCATGTTATTTTTTATGAAAAAGAACCCTAAATAAGAAGAGAATAGAAAACCAGGGATATGTCTTGAACATGTGAGGTAAGTGTAGTTGTATTTTTATTGTAGTTTCGTTTTTGTTTATAATTGTTTTCTTTTTCTTTCCGTAGGTATTTAGTTATTTACTTTTGTTTATATGTTTTAAAATTTCCATCTTCTCTCTTGTTTGTAAATAATATACATAATAGAATTAGCCAAAGCATAAATGATCATTGTACATATATCACTACAATTTATATTATAAAATAGAGAAATTCAAAAATTCAAAAAAAAAAAAAAAAGAAAGAAAGAGAAAGGAAAGAGAAAATAAATTAGTCATGTGATCATATTTGATACTCATGCATCAAGAAATGAGTGTCTTACACTTTCTTTATTTGGTAAATTTTTTAGAATTGATCAAATGCACTAAAATTTTTGATGTCTCGTCCTAACTTCTAATAAAATCAATAATAATTTTTTATATTTTTAAATAAATTATTTCATATAAAATTAAATTTATTGATCTGTTATCATAATTAAATAAATTATTAGTATTTTCTTTATATTTACGAAAATAATTATTGAAAAATAAAAAATAATTTATGTTTATGTTTATGTTTAATGTTGCCTTGTGCTTCTATAACAAGAACCAATATTGTGGTGAGAGATATTCTTTCTGAATGGCAATGAAAATCAAGAATCAAATTCGGTGGAACCATTTAAATTTTGTTGATTTATTATTTTTTACTTTATTTTTTTTTTAATGTATTTAAACTCTCATTCCCCAATATAATTTATAAATATTAATTAATAAATTTTTTATGAATGTTATAGTTACACATTTTCCGCCGCTTTGTTATATTATATGTATAACTTTGTTATATTATTGGGTACAAAAATACATATTAGTATCACTTAATAAACTCAAAGTGAGAGTGAAGAAACGGATTTTGTATATAAATTAAAAACATATCATATTTTAATCAACTTTTGGAAAAAAAACAAGTTTATTACAGCCAAATCGTTTTGCTTATTATGACAAATTTTCAAATCATGAAAAGTAACATAAGATTTTTCTAATTTATTAGTAATGTATGCCTTTGGTACATTATTGTCATCAAATGTGAACAATGTCATGATTCTTGTCTTCATTTCCATGCATATGATTTAAGAAGCTTTAAGATTTGGTGGCATATTTATTTATTTTTTTAAAAATGATAATTCTTAATAAGAAGTATCATATAACTTAAATTTTTTTTACAGAAAAAATTGGTGAGGTCAAGAATTAGAAGAATAATGAAAAATCAAAAGTGGATGTGTGACACATGAGAATTTTAATATGGTATGAAATTATTGTCTTAATATAAAGTGATTAAGATGTAAACAAGTTGCACAAACACCAAAATATGCATGTCTAAGTTATTTGTTTATTTTTTTTTGTGATGATTTATTTTCTTTTTATTTATTTATTATTCTTTTATCTTCTTCGTGATGTGTTTCATCTATTTATTTTTAATTTATTATATTATTTAAAAAGCATAAGCGATAGAAAATTCAAAAGTACATTAAAATTGAAAAAAAAAAAAAAAAACCGAAGAAAATATATTACAGAATGATTATTTTAAAATAATACTCTCCTAAAAAAGGATCTTCGTTTCTCCAACTCCATGCTAAGGTAGTTGCAAGTGGCCCCATTCTCATCATTCCAAACATCTTCTTCCTATTTTCTTGTTTTTCTTTTTCTTTTTTTTTTTTTTCTATTTAGTTTGTTGTTATCTGCATATTTATTTTGATTGACAATAATTTGAAAGTATTATGAGTAGTTTGTGGTTGGACTAATAATAGCGAATGCCTGGCTAGCATGTAAAGGAGTTCCAAATGAGTAAAGCCCAAATTAATTAAAAAGGCAATCCCTAACCTATTTTCAAAGCAGGTTGTAAGAGCTAATCCTCATGAGCTTAATACATTTACTCTCTCTCTCTCTCTCTCTCTCTCTTCAGTCACTTATCAGAAACCAAACAAAGCATGCCTATATGCTTTTAAGTTCCAAACTTAATGAAATGTTAAAACTGCATTCATCGAATTAGTGGCAACTTCCCCCAAACTCATTGAATATTTATATTTGTAAAGTCTTTATCCCCGTGTCACCATTGTTACAATTGGATCCTCGGTCAGACCAATTTCCCATCCATTAACACGTTGACCATATCTGGTATGTTCTTTCTCCATTGTATTTTTAGCTGTACTCCAGCCAACTGGAAGCCACTTCAATTATCACCTTCTTAAGCTCAATCACCCTCTTCAATTTTGTTCACCATAAACTCGAGGAGTCTTGATGTGTAAATCATTAGGGGATTCTCTCCATACATAAGAACACCTCTCAATACATCTTCTCCAACCTAGATTTCCCATTCTTTAAATCATAGAAACCATTCAACATATACTTCTTCTTTCTTGTATCACCTCATTCATCTCTTGATTTGACGGAAACATCTAGAGTTTAGAACCATTGTACGTTTGTAATGCACTTTTTACCTTAATCATTTTTATTCATACCTTTATGCATGTTGACTCTACCTCTTTTTTTCTGGTACATATTCAAACTTCACGTCTCAACAAACACAAAATCCATTTCACATGTTTTATACTACGAAGCTTCTCTTATATCTTGTACCTATTTCATATTGCTAACCTAATTAATTGCTTCCGTTGGTGATGACTTGTTAGTTTAACTTCACTTGCTCACCCTGTCGATTGACACTTGTCTGTACTCAGTTTTCTTTTAAACTACTCTGAACATCCCTTTCATTCACCAGATGTTTAACTCTCCCTCTCACTCAAATGTTTCTTATCCTATGCCTTTCTTGCTAATAATCTCTCTCTTCCAAAAATCGAACTGCACACATGTTTTATTGCTTTATTCACTTCATCACTCATCTTATAAATACAAGAAACACTGTCCTCCCTGCCCTTTCCCTTCTCATAGGAAAACACTTTTGACATGGCCATAATTCAAAAAAATATTACCCTTAATTTTTTTATCATGGTAAGCAATAGATATTAGGCTTTGTAATATTTGATTAAT